GGAAAAGAAAAACACAGATTTTAAGACAGGATCTTTTTTTAAATGGAAATTTTCTGAATTTTGGGACAATATTGTCTGATAAAGACTATATTTATATACATGTCTAATGATTTGACATTTAAATATGATTTTCCCTACGACTTTAAAGTATCAATGGAAAAGTGCCTTTATTCATTTGCTCTAGTTGTCCATGTGTTTATAAGCAGCACCTTCTGCGAGCAGCTGTGGCCCATGTTTAATATGACAATGAAATACAGACATAATTGGCTGCTGCAGCTGCTGGTCTGTTTTATACAACCAAATTCAGAAAGCGCAGTTATCAGTTAGCTTTTATGGAGAGCTCCTAGAGAGATGTTGTTTTTGATGTCAGGATTTTTAAAGCGAAACACTACATTTTCAAAAGCTGAAGTTTGACACGAACCAGAATGAACTAACTTATTAACAAGGCATAAATGTTAAGCTAGCTGTATGAACCATTTACCTTATTTCTCTGAATTTATCTCCACTGGGGGTGGATTTCCTTTGGTTCACTTATTGTATTAGGAGGGGGATGAGATTATTTATGGACAAGTGTCATGTGAAGGAGCAAACGGTTTTCTATTTTGTCGGCCTATTTTGTCCTAATTGGAAATTTGAATACATTAGACCTTGTGATGGAAGTACATTACTTTATAGCCCAAATTACACTACCCTCTGAAAACCGATCCATGCCGAGCTTGGATCAGTTAACCGTGCCGAGTTTGGTTCCTTACGACAATTTACACTACATGCTAGCGCAGTTCCTCGCCTCCTAGTGGCCATCTACGGTACTACTGCTCTCTAGAGGTAAACAAGCAAATCAACATGACGGCGCCCGTAACATTCAGGAAATTTGTTTATAATTGTGATAGAGTCAGGCGAAGAAGGCAGCCTTTGGGGAATTTACTTGACAGACGGCCTTTGGGGAAGTGGATACGACAAATGATAGTCTAATCAGGTCTTACAGATGCAGGAAACAACGATGGACGTTGAGATTCATCACACTGCTAAGCAGAATAATCACTGGAAATTGTGTAGCACGGTAGAGAAGCTAATATTTTTATGAATGTCTGAAGTTTGTCTGAAGTTTTTAGTTGATTTCGGTGGCTGACACTAAGGAGATGATGCGGTCTGCTCATGCGCTCTTTGTTATCTGAGAATGGAGCCAGCACTGAGTCGCGGTGAGCCCTACGGATGAACTAGCACCATGTTTGCGTGGTTCAGTTGTGTCTGCCATTTAGATTCAACAGCTTTCTCGCCTACGGTGTTCAGACCAATCTCGGCCCCATTTACCCTACCCTTTTGAAAGAGTAGGGTAAATGGGGCTTATGAGTAAGTCCAAATATAGACCTGCATGCTTGATTGAGCTCATGTAAGACCAAAGCCTACCAGGAACAATAGCAAGCAGTTGCCTAGAATATAAGATTTTAGCCACTACACTTAACTAGTTAATTGCTGTAGAGGAAGACATTATCAAGAAAAGCAAAAACTGAAACATCGAAGATCATCAGCTGTATAATGAGTCATTATACAATAAAACTTACGGAGTAGAATAGGTTTCTTTAAAACATCTGTGCATACTGATCACATTTAGTCACAGGGCTATTATAAAACAGAATGTGTTATTTTACAGTACATACCTGTTCACCCTAAATGACCTGGATAAATATCAGGGACAAACAAAATCTAATCTGACACTTTCTCAGTTAGCTAATCTAGGTTATATGATTTCTTTACATAAATGCTGACTCTGTTCAGTCCTAGACGGAAAAAGTTACATCACAGTGATTTGAACAGTCGTGTTTTGCAGTGTTTAGGAAGCAGTTGGTAGGACAGGATACAAAGCTCATAATTTCCTTTTTGAGTTCAAACTGCTACTCACACTTTGTTTAGCTACAGATAACAAATCTCTGTAAACTTGCAATAAATGTACAACATTGAGCTGTAGTGTTGTGACTGTGTCTGTTTCCATGTCTATATTTCTCTGTGTCTCTTCTGATGACAAACTGAATGAACAGGACATGAATCATTTTTTAGCTTCACCGATTATGCAAGGAGACTTACTTTTTTATCATTACATAAAGCTGCTAGTAACACCGATTGGTTTGAGAAGATTCTATATTTCGCATCCATTTTATGTTGAATGTAGAGCAACTCCTGTTTCTTATATAATCTATGACACAAATACCCTACATATGCAGCGAGCAGCACAGTGCTCCTTCCTTCTAAGCGCTGTCTTTCCCTATAGAGATCTTTCAGGAGCTTCTATGCCTCTCGCATCCCTTTGCCTTCTGGTATGGGGGGAATTCTCTAACTGTTGTTTTTGCCTATGGGTGGAGAGAGAAGGGCAGAGCTGTCTACTATTTACCCCTTAGAAGTAAGATTGATACGCTGGAAGATAAGGAAGCTGGACATATTCTGAAGATATACCTTTTAATCGAAAGTGGAGACAACTTTTTAGATTAAGTTTTTATAATAAATGTTCTTTATGAAATTCTATGTACTAACATTTTACAGTGTCTTCCTACCATTCTAAAAGTAGAATGGGAGGCAGATCTGCTCCTCTCCTGTGAAACCAAATACCAATTTTAGTGCATGAGGTGGACACCCTGTCTACTTTAAGACAAGGCTTAAAACTTTTTTTTGTGATAAAGCTTACAGTTATAGTGGCAACGGTTTCTCCTAAAATACCGGCAATCACATGGTTTTCCTTGGATTGAAAACTTTTAATAAATCTGAGCATATGATTTGGTTAAATTGTCTCTGTAAAGTGCCTTGTCATAACATGTTATGAATTGGTGTTATGCTGCTATAGGCTTAGGCTGCTGGAGGACTTGGGGACCACTTTTCATCATTGTTATTCAATATTATTATATTCTGAAGTATTTGTTAGTTCAACTTTTAAGTTTATGTTCATTCTACTTTTTTCTAATCATAGTACCTCAATTTGATCTGTTCCTGCTGGGCTTTGACACCATCCTAGAGGGATGAGGGCTAAGGCATCACCTCAGCTGTTGCCATCAATTAAATTCAATTCTGTTTATTTCTATAGCGCCAATTTACAACACATGTCATCTCAAGGCACTTTACAGTTCACCAGCGCATACAGTCAAATTGAATCAAAGTTTTCTATCCAAGTAAAACCAGTTGATTGCATCGACTCATTGACTTGAATGCAGTCCCTTACACTAACCATGGTTAAAGTGACAGTGGAGAGGAAAAACTCCCTTTTAACAGGAAAAAACCTCCAGCAGAACCAGGCTCGGTGTGAGCAGCCATCTGCTGAGGCCGACTGGGGTTCAAGGAGACAGAAGCAGAGACACAAAAAGCAACTGTAAGAGGCGGCCCGGTCCAGGAAACACACAGCCAGGCAAACGAGCTCCGAGCCAGCTCCCATGTCAGAGGATGAAGAATCCTTCCTGTCACATTCAGAGAAACAAAACTACACTCAAAAACAGGCTGATCTCAAACATCTATAAACAAAGGTGTTGATGGCAGCAGCACAGCTGATATTTCTCTCCAGGAGAAGAGAAGAGAAGAGAAGAAGAGAAGAGAAGAGAAATGGGAGAATCAACAACTCACAATATAGATGATAGAGTTGGACTTATATTAAGTGTTTAGTCCTGTTTCTCTCTTAGACAGTTATTGCCTCAGTTTTCACTATATGTGCTCTCTTTCATCCATTTTGACATAAAACACAACTCAGGGCTAATCTGCTTAACTGTATTTTTTCTTGTACAAAGCCGCTACAGGGCTTGTTTACCATTATCTGTGCAAAGAGATTTGTTTTTAAATATATAATTCAATGCCTGCATGTTGGTTTCTCTCTTAAACTCCGACTTGGCTTAGGCAAAAGGCCGCTCATGCTGAGCCTGGTTGTAAAAAAAAGATTTTCTTCTTTACAGTCATTGCATGCATGCTTGATGCGAGGGATTGCTGCAGTCAACAACACAATGCAAGTGAATGTCTTTTGTCTCCACATGCTCTTTCATGAGTGAATCTGCAAAGTCAATGATTACATGCAATCAGGTGGTTATCCCTATACATTTTATAACCAATCTGACTATGATCTTATTAAATTGTCTCCTTGCCTTGAGATGACGTGTTGTGGACTGGCAAGATATTAATAAACTGAACTGAACATAACAGCCACTCCTTTACTTGGGCAATAGAATAACGTTAAATAAAATAACAGGGAAAAACCACATGATTCATTGTTATAAGTTTCCTATCACAGATACAACCATGTGTTACACATTGCCTCACACGATTATTTTAATAAAAACTGTAAACCTTTGAATTCCACCATTTGCAGCAGCACAGTTTTTTCCTAATATTTTATATAAATGCACACAGACAGACCCAACATTTTCAGATAATTCTGATTTTGACCATGTAAATTCAGTAACCACTGCTTCCCTCACCATGTATTGTACTTCAAGAGACAAGAGGAAGGAAGTAGGTTTGCTCAGGCATGAGTAGACCTTCTGTGAGTCACATGACGCCACTGACCCGTGTGGCAACCTGATAAACTCATGCTGTGTCCTAACTGGCCCCGTGGCAAAACACCACGGCAGCATGCCAGCCCAATGGGAAGCGGCCGTATGATGCTGGGTGACGGTTGCAGACCTTTTTTTCTTTTTTACATAGAAAAAGGAAAAGAATGAAGTCCAAAAATGGGCATAAATGGAGATAATAGGCCTTTCGCAGATCCTGCTTAGCATGCAAGCAGTCTTTTTGGGTCAATAAAGTGCATTTGAACACTTGTGTTTGTCAGTGTGTTTTCATGGATTTTTCATCAAATAAAAAGATGTTTTTGGGCGAGGGAAACAAATCATGTTGCCATTGGCAACAAACTTAAGGGAGAAATTGGATTAAAATAAAAAAAATAAATAAAAACTAGCCTCAGAGAAGAAAAGAAGCAAAAATCAGCTCAGATTGCAGTTTTATTATTCAACTACCACAGTATACAAAGTATGAAGGATGCACACTGATTTATTGTTGCTGCATTTTAAACATTCTTTCATTAAAGCATATTTCACTTGACTGCATCACACCTTTTAATCAGCAGAGTGGTCTATGCTGAACTGGATTGGATCTGACTCAGTGACCTGAGACAGAGAAAGAAATGTGCCATGGTGTAAATCAGTCTGAAGAAAACTGAACGAGGTGTTGAGCAGTGCTCACTTAAAGGCTAATACCCTGAATCAGGTCAATTAAACATCTGCCCCATTTCAAACTGCCCTATATGTGAAATGTCTCTTCTTTTGCGCCTTTCTGGCACCTGGTTTACTCTGCAAAGACACAGCTGGAGGTTCAGAGACACTTTCATCTTCCTGGTCAGTTCAAACAGACAAGACTTTGCCTTCATAGGGCTTTCTGATCACAGCTGTAGGTCTCCCCACCTGTAGACAACACACAAAGCCAAAAGAAAGGTTAAGCCACTTCACTGAAAATGCCAGTAAGTACATCCAATCTGGCAGCTGATTAGGAATTTTCTTAGAGCAATCACAGAAAAGTGGCCACGTTGACCTCAATTTGAGATTTTCATTTATTCCTGTATGCTGCACAAGTCTCCTTCTGCACCTGCGAAGCTGTTAGCCAATCAGCCTTAGTCTTATTAATGTTTCAACATTAACACTCAGCATTTAAACTCCTCACTGGTTCCTCTTTTTATCTACCCCATATTTTTCCTGCTCCTTACTTCTCCTTGGATTCCTGTTCATCCTTGGCTCCTTCTGTCCCTATTAATTTATTAGCTTATTTTGTCATTGAATTAAACCTCCAAAGACGACCTGCTGCCTCATTCTTTCTTCATTTGGGTCCACATCCAACTACACCATGACATGAACACAATAATAAGTAACCAAATTCAGTGCCCAGACTTAGAAAAAGAGAATAGGGACTATTCTAGAATAATATATGTGCATGGAAACCCACCCTGAAATAAGGCTTTTAAGACAAAGAGCTAATATTTTCTACAGAACTGCACCTATCAGGCTTTACAAAGCACATCATTTTTATCCATTTTCTGTGATTAAATAGTTGGATTGGTGAAGTGATAAAGCATGACTGTAAAGGTTCTCAGTCATCCAGGTCACAGTCATTCCAAAAAAAGAAAATTAAAAATAATCCACTGGATTTTGTTTCCAAGTTTGAAGATGCTTCGCTTCCCATCCAGGAAGCTTTTTCAATTTAAAATGTCAGGAATAGCGATGAGTTTAAGGTTTTATTCAGTAGCCCAACAAAGCCTTGTTTTAGTTTTGAAAAAATGCAAATTGGAACGAACAAAAGGGTCCACCCCTTTAGAATGGGGGACTTTTGGCTTCTTTTGTTAGCCTGCAATGCCCGATACCTGTCTAAGTGTTTAGACGTCTTCAAACTTTGAAAAAAGTCCAGTGGATAGTTTTTAATTTTTTGGAATGACTGTGACCTAGATGTCTGAGAATCTTTACAGACATGCTTTTTCACTTCACCAATCCAAGTGTCTAATTCCCGAAAATTGATACAAATGAGCTGCTTTGTAAAGCCTGATAAGCACAGAATGAGGAAGCAAGTTTGAAGATGTTTCTCTTCCCACCCAGGAAGCATTTTTCAATTCAAAATGTCAGAATTAGCGTTGAGTTCAAGGCTTTATACAGTAGCCCAACAAAGCCTTGTTTTAGTTTGGAAAATATGCTAATTGGAACGGACGAAGGGTTGATCCCTTTGGAATGGGGATTGTTGGCCTGGCTGAATAGGCGACCCCCCTTTCAGACACTGAGGCCCCGTCCACACGAAGACGAACCCTGGCCTAAACGCACAAATTTTTCACCAAACCAGCCTCTCATCCATACGAAGCCGGCGTTTCGGGGGTCTGTAAACGATCTTTTTTTTATTCAGCCTTCAGAGTGGGAAGATTTCGAAACGCCGTTTTCGCGTTTCCATCTTTACGCTCTAACCGCATTTTTTTTTTTACACGCATGCGTCATAGCGTCACCTCTAAACACGCATGCGCGACACAGTATCACAACAACAATGGCGCCGTTGCTGCTAATGCTACTCACCCTGCTGTCGGGCTTACAACAGAATCTTCTTCTTTTGGAATATCTCCAGGAAGAACAGAGCAATATAGACGACATAGTTCAGCACCTCAATTTGACTGAACCACGAAAATGGACCCGCAGGGCAACCATGTATAAATATTAGTGCACATGCCCAACATTTCGTCGCTTATTTTTGCTTTGGCACCACAGCGCCACTTACAGGCCTGGCATACATTTTGCAGCGTTTTCATGCATTCGTGTGGACGCTCACATTTATTTTACGTCTCCGTCTTTACGGCAAACGTTTTGGAAAATATCAGCGTTTCGTGTTCGTTTTGACTTCGTGTGGACGGGGCCTTAGACAGGTATGGGGCATTGCAGGCTGACAAAAGAAGCCAAGCGACCCCCATTCCAAAGGGGTGGAACCCTTCGTCCTTTCCAATTTGCATGTTTTCAAAACAAAAACAAGGCTTTCTTGGGCTACTGTATAAAACCTTGAACTATTCCTGACATTTTCAATTGAAAAAGCTTTCTAGATGTGAAGCAAAAAATCTTCAAACTTGGAAACAAAATCCAGTGGATTGTTTTTAATTTTCTTTTTTAGGAATGGTAAAGCTTGAAAATTTTCATTCAAGGAAAGGAGAAAACCTAATATCCAATTGCCTAGACTGAACCTTTTCAAGCCTGAAAACGCATGTTTTTTTTTTTTTCCTCTGGGTATATCTTAACAAACAGACACAGCAAAAAAAATAAATAAATAAATGAAAATACAACCTCAGCTTTGCTTTGATTGGCTGTTGAGCAGAAGCAAATAAACTGCTCCATATAGGAAAGAACAAAGAATGCAGAATAGTAGCAGAACATAAAATATCCAATATAGGATAATATAATTGATTTGATTATGGAGCATGGATGTTTTTTTTTTTTTTTTCGTTTCATTTTAGTAGAAAATTAAATCTAACCAGAGAGACAGTTACTGTATTTCATTTATGCTTTGTTTCATACAGAGTAATTTCAAAAAACTTTTTAATTAGGCCTTGGGAAGCTAGAAGTAAACAGGCAGTAACTGTGATGATGAAATTTTAGTAACATTTTAAGGAGATGAACAAGCACTGTGGTAGCCATTTAAAATTTCATCACTTCCTTTGATGGGCCCTTGGCTGAAAAGAATACGGAAAAAAAATATGCAAGAGGGGGTCACTGCAGTGGCAGGAAGTCGGACGAAAGTGTGCTGCCATTTGTCTGGCGAAACTGGGAAGGGCCATTTTGAACGGCTTCTACTGTATTTAGTATCAAAGTGTGGTTTGATGACTGAAGGCTTATAGTAAGCTCTGACTCACCTGATCCCTTTGCTTGATTCTTTTATAAACAAACTCAGAGAAAGGCTCTCTGTGGATGAACCTGCCATGTCCTGGTTCTACCTGCAGCTTTTTGTTCTCATAAACCACTTTGCCTCTGGAGATGGTGATGATTGGGACACCGTGGCACTCCATGCCCTCAAAGATGTTGTAGTCCACAGCTTGATGGTGAGTCTTGGCTGATATCCTCCTGCAACATAGATGTACAACATTATCATATTAAGCAATTTGGCTGCTGCTGAGAGGTGACATCATCTGAAACAGAGGAAGTGAGAGAATCAGACATTTACTGAGATTTAATCTTCCACTACCCACCACTTTTTCAGTCATTAAAAAGACTTTTATATTTAAAGCATTTAAGAGGTGTTAATTATTGAAACACAGCCAGGGGATTCTTTGCAACAAACAAAAGCTCTACTTTTCACAATAACTGCATTTAAATTTAAATAGTGGATCTAAAACATGTGTGAACACCAGTTAAAATTCCATTTATTTTGCTTCCATCATTCAGAGTTGGGCAACAGAAATCTATACGCAATCTGCTTCTGAACTATATGTTATTTTCCCAACCCTATTAGCTAAATCTCTTCTTTTATCCATTTTTTTTTTTTTACGGTAGATTTAATGCAGACACCTTCCATCCATCCATTTTCTGTCATGCTTATCCCAAGCGGGGTCATGAAGGGTGCTGGTGCCTATCTCCAGCTATCTATGGGGTAGAGGCGGGGTCCACCCTGGACAGGTCTCCAGTCCATCGCAGGGAAACACAAAGACAAACAGGACAAACAACCATTCACACACACATTCACACCTAAGCAGAATTTAGAGAAGGCAATTAACCTGACAATCATGTTTTTGGACTGTTGGAGGAAGCCGGAGTACCCTGAGAGAACCCACGCATGCTCGGGGAGTAAATTACATGCAGAAAGACTCCAGGCAGGGAATAAAATCTGGAACCTTCTTGCTGCAAGGCAGCAGTGCCACTGAGCAGAATTTGGATGTATGCATGTGCGCTCTAACCAGGTGAAAAATATTCCTTCCTTTGTATTATTTATCATATTTTATTGTTATTTCCTGTAAGAAAAAGGGTTTTGTTCAAATTCAAACAATTAAACCTAAATCTGTGGAAGGTACAATTAGTTTTCGGCTAAATGTATAGAATTCAACAAAAACTTTTAGGAGAATTTTTGACCATTTATAATTTAAAAAAGGAGAGGAAAAAGTGGAAAACTGTATTCCATGAGATGCACTTTATTAAATCTCACTGAATTTAGTTTGTTTTTATCCCCTCACTCCATCAGCCATAGAAATGACACGGCTCAGAACTGGACTACTTTACAGTGTGAATGTTCTGTGTGAAGATTTACATTCTGGATTTCATTTGGATACTATTTTGGCCAGGCTAACAAACACTGGATTAGTCTAAGCAAAGATTCCCATGTTTACAACACACTCTGAAGGCAGTGCATTGCCAAGCTGTAAGCACAGCCTAGTAATACACAAGGGAGACACCCATCATATTGTGTTACCCCCTGAGACCCAAAGCAGTTTCTAGAAAAGTGGTGTTGTTTTAGATCAAGTGTGAGGTTAATCCTCAAATAAAGAACACACAAATTCTCTGACACAACAAATGAAAATATAAATCTATATTGCTAAAAAATACGGAAGCCGAGAGCGGTCGTATTTGACTTTTATTTTTTTTTGCCTTCTCGAGATAATGACATAACTATCTTGTTACCAAGGTTAAACCATTAGTTGTTTTCTCTCGACTAACTAGATAATTATCTCATTATCATGAGAAAACGGTTACTGATTACTTGAGACAATGAGATGATTAACCTGTATGAGTAATGAATGAGGCTGGCCAACAGTCCTGGATTCCCAGTCCATCCATGCCTGCAGGGCCCCTAGTTGTGTAATTGCAGTACTGCGTATGCACGTGTAGATGATTGGATTGCATGGAATACAGTAGAAACAAATCTGATCATTTTTTTAATGAAAAATCTTTAATCTGACTCATTTCGGGGGTTAATGCATCTTAAACCTGTTACAGGCGTAATACCGGGGCTGTTTAGAAAACACCTGGCTCTAGACGCCGGAGGCAGCAGATGTTAGAGCTAAATAAATGGAAATCCTTAAAAATATGTTCTGTAACTTTAAGGTGGGTTAGAAATTAACCTTCAAAAAAAAATTAAATATGAAAAAGAGACCATAATGTAAAGGCTTTAGATCAATAGACATGTGTTAATCTGACCTGGTCAAAGTCCAGACTCAAATAAAACTGGCAACACGTCGAGATGTCCTGTCACTTTATGAATTTGTATGCAGGTAGCTCATGTTACCCTGTTGGCCTATTGCTTTTTATTTCTGCAATACACTCTCTTTTTGCTACATTTGTTAGTAAATTTAACCCCTTACTGTATTTACCAAAAACAATACAATGACATAGAGGTAAAAAAAAATATAGAAAAGAGTAATTAATAATCAAGAAATTAATTCAGCCAAGCAGGTCAGCATTTCCATAGTTGGGCTGTAAAAAGAAAGAAGAGAAGTGCAAAAGCAAGTGTTGAAAGGGTAAAGCAATGTTGGATGCCAAGAGGGATAACACATGAGAAGCACTTAGATTACAATATAAACCTTGGTTTTCACTGAAGCGAGAGCTAAAGCTGCAGAAGCTGCCAAATAGATGTGTGCATGAGTAAGTAAAGCCAGAAGATGATGATGATGTACAACCAAATATGTCTGCTGATCCAACGGGATTTTATGCTGAAAAAAGGAATAGGTAAAAACTATTAAGAAGAAAGTATAGTATTTATTGCCCAAATAGTTTGCATATAGAGCGCTTTATGAATTTTTACAATCATAAAACAGTATGCAGGGGGGTAAACAAGGAAGTAACCAATTAGGCTAAGTCAGTTGTCACCTCCCAGCAAAGTGTGGAAAAAACTCAGAAAGTCCAAGATACAGCGTTAAAAAAATCGGCACAAAATTTGTTATATTTTTTACAGAGAAATAAGATTTGGAGTACGGAAGAATGTTGGTGTTCACTGAAGCGGGAGCTAAAGCTGCCGAGGTGCTCTCGTGACTGTAGAGTTGTTGTATTTTGTTGTAGTTGGCATCCTTATTAATACTGATACTAGTTATAGAAACGCCACTCTTGGTGTAACCCACCTGCACTGGAAAAACAATCTAGAAATAAGTCAAAATGTTTCAAATTACGTGCATTTACCCTTAATTTGAGTACCGGTAGGTAAGTGAGATAGTTTGCCAATGGAATTAATGCTTTTACTCTTAAAATAACATATTTAGATAAAATGCATTTGAAATAAGACAATGCGATTGTGTTTTCTTATTTTAAATCTAATTTGTCTTGTTCCATTGGCACAGTGGATCTTTTTCCTCCTGAATCCAAGAAAAATTGCACTTATTTTAAGAAATAATGACTTATCTAGATTTAGATTTTTTCCAGTGTGAAACATTGGACTACTAAACCAATACATTTAGTCTAGTTGTAATTCTTGCAAAATCCACTACAGAGCACATTAATGTTTCTGTAGACATAATTGAACTTTTATTGATCTCACAATGGAGAAATCTACCTGTGCATTTAACCCATCCCTTTGGGGAGCAGTGGGCTGCCATTGTGCGGCGCCTGGGGAACAGTGTGGGGTTAAGGGTCTTCTTGTAAGGTAATCTGGACATAAAAAATAAACAAAAAACTACACGGGTAGAAACATTGCTATAAACTAAGGCTTTGTTTTATTTTGATTCTGTATTTTCTTTTGAATATTGCATTTGTTGCAATTTACGTGCAATAAAATGATCAGTTCAGTGTTCAGTCAATCTGACGTCTCATTATTCTTTGTGGAATTTAGTGGGTGTTTAGTTCCTGTGTCATGCTGGTCCACAGCCTTTATAATCTAAGTATATGTAAATAACATTATGATTAAATCAACTAATTGATTTATTTGTTTTTACTTTGATGCTATGTCGCTCTTTGATTATGTTACGAAAAAGAATTTTCTTCTCTCATATGTTCTGATAGGAGGATCTGGGGAGGATTTTCCAGAACTGATGCTGCAGATCGGTTTGTTTAATTAATATTAGTTGCTCTTTAACCACATTAAGCAGTCCCTTTACTGCAGGATGATCATGCTCTATTGGGTAGTTGCAATCTGTCACTCTAATATTTTTGAGGTTCTGCCAGTTGGATGCTCATCGCACCCTAGTGCTGGAATTCAATTTATGCTCAACCATCTGAACACCATCAGAACAGCCGGTTGATATATATAACATTATTTCATCATGATCAAATTATTTTTGCTCCTTTTTGTACACATAACTATGGACCTTCAAAGATGTTGTACACTTCCATTACTGTAAACAGTCTGCAGTGGTAGTATCTACTGGAATATGGTTTGAATCACAGTCCTAATAGGTTGGCTTCCAGATTCCCAACAAATAAATCATGATGAATTGAAAGACAACATCAGACATGGAAGGGGAATTTGAATTTGAGTCTGACTCAGCTTCTTCTTTGAAATGCACTAAATGGCATTTTTCCACCATTCATATTAAGATAGCTGCCGCAGAGCCATACATCATGCCCGCTGTTGTGTGCACTGACATAAACAAGATGTGTCCCCATTATTCAAGTGGCCCAATTATAAGAAACAAGGCGGACGAGTGATCTTCCCCAGCATTAGGCGGTTACGCAACCGTTTGTAGCCCCTGGACCCGGATGTTATGAAGCAACGCCTGTGCTGAGGGCAATTAATTACGCTGCATCACAGATGACTTCACGGCCATGGCAGCTGAATACGAGGCAAGCACATGGTTGGAATGCATTATGACATCGCCACAGATGCTGCGACGGTAAGGAGAGAGTGACACAGAGAAGACAAACAGTTTTAGGTCCTTCGTATAACTATCAGTGATCCTCTCAGCTCCCAGAAGTCTGCAAATGTGACGAGTGGATTCATTTACGGGACATTACACAAAGGGGTAACACATGTCTCTCTCATCCACATACAGTAAGCTGTTAGAGATCTCCCAGGAGTGCTCAATCAAGGTCCAACAACAAATCATTTCACTTCAGTTATATAAGACTGTGGGACACATTATACCATATGCAACTGGAATGAGAACTATCCTGAATGGTTGCATCTTCATATAATCCAAAAAAGAGCTACTGTGCTCTGCTTAAATCTGGAATAGAATAAAATGATTTCATTGTCATTATGCATCACTGTGCAATACATTTTCCATTGTTTGGTGCAAACAATAAAAAAGCACTCAACTAAAACAACAGGTACATAAATAACCAAAACAACAACATAAAAATAGACAGACATAACAATATTATGCATCTGTGCTACAAAATGACAAAATAAAGGTATTGCTGTCAATATGAAGGCCTTATTTATGCATCATACATAATTCAAGGGTAAAAATAAGCAACTATCACTTAATCCTCTTTTTTTTTCTTCAAATCATGCAGTGTTGCAACATCTTAAAGCAGTTACCAAAAATAATCTGAGCACTATTGGTTCTGCTCCTACGTAGGAATATTTGTCACATTTACATCCTCACAGTTTCCCATCAGGATCATCATGAAGAGAAGCTGCGCATCTAGCTTATATAAGTGTACGACAGAATGGGTTCTTTAAAACGCTGTTTCCTTAAAAAGATACTACCCTCCCACCCTAAAAAATGTAAATATCCATCCCAATGTTCTGGAATAATGAGACGGATGCAGATGTGAAATGTGTTATGCACTGGTTTGTAGATGAGGCACACACATAATCAGCTTAGTATGTGTTAAAGTGGCACAGCATGTGATGGAGCACCTCTTTTTTTAGCTTTCTGTATTTAGAAAGTGCCTGTTTTCATGAGCTACAATTTTGAAGTGTTGTCTCATTTACACCCTGAAGTCATGCTGTTAAATTTCCCCGAATGCTCCAGCAGCATCTTGTACACTTCACCACTGGAATATTTGACTATAACTTATAAGAACCTTCCTATAAGGCTCAGTTATAAAGGTCTTCTTTAGAAGTAGCATTGCCAGAGCTGGGGGTCCTCACCTTGTCATCTTGGGGTCCCATATCACCACATCGGCGTCAGAGTTTTTGGCGATGCGGCCTTTCTGTGGGTAGAAGTTGAAGATTTTTGCAGCGTTGCTGCTTGTGACGGCCACAAATCGATTCTCATCCATTTTGCCGCTGTGCTAAAAGGAGAGTGAGGTACTATTTGAATATAGGGGTCACAGCGAATGACGACAACATTCAGAATTACTACACAAAAGGTCGGCACTTAACTTTGCCAGCAGCAGCCTGCTTGAGCCAAAATATCATCTATAATTTGTGATTTGTAAGCACTGTAGTAGTAAATCTTTCCAGCCCCCCCCACCTTACACACAGCTACAGCGTGGAAGTGCAGCATCAGCACTCTCAAGAAAATCTGCTGCTTTGCGAGTTTATTACATTTTCTGATTGCAATGCAGAAAAGAAGTGCATCTAACATTTTGGTTTACAAAGGAGTAAATATAAGCTTGACATTTCTTTAAGTTGGAAGAAAATCACAATGTAATAAGCTATAAGCTAGTTCCCTTTGATGTTAAATGTGAGGATGTTACAACAGTAGCCATTTCTACACTTTCCTTGATGGGTCCTTGGCTGGTCCCCTAAAATTCCTTTTTAAGCATAAATCTTTGTACTAAAATTTTCTTTCTGTAAATAACTATGTTGGGTTCATGGAGGGGATTTTGCTAGGAGTTGCAGGGGAGTGGGCTGCCATTCGGCTGGCGTTTGACTGGGAAGGGCCAGTTTGATTGGCTGCTACTGTATTTACAAAAAGAATAAGACCAGGCATCCTCTAGATGCAGATCCACTTAGGGTTGTAAATATGTGGGGGCTATTCTGTATGACAAAGGATGCTTTGGAACATGTGGTCAGGAGCCTGGAGGGGGATTGATTAAATTAATAAAAGAGATATATTCTTTATATTAGTCAGCTCAACTTAGTTCTATCCATTAATTTTATTGATGCAAGTAAACAGACCTGTGATCTCAACAAAGCAGGTTATGACTGCCAGCTTTGCACCTGTAGAGACTGAACCTTTTTCTTTTTTGAGGAACTTAAGCTTAGTTACAAAGGATGGAGAGTATTTTTGAACAGCTATTTTCAAATTGTACAAAAGGTTTGAATCTGTTTTAGCATTTGGGCTTTGACTTTAGCGTTTAAACCCGTGAATGTGCTTATATCTAAACCCCTCCATAGCTGCATGTTTGGAATGCCTCTGCCCCAGTTTCTAACTTCACTGCAAAAAAGGATCTAGAAATAAGTAAAACATTCTTAAATTAAGTGTACTTAACCTTAATTTGAGTAGGTAAATGAGATAGTTTGCCAATGGAATGAGTACATTTACTCTTGAAATAAGATAAATACATAATATGCACTTGAAATAAGACAAAACAACTCTGTTTTCTTATTTTGAGTGTAAATTGTCTTGTTCAATTGGCAGTGTCTCTTTTACCTCCTCAATCCAAGAACTAATGCATTTATTTTAAGAAAAAAATTACTTGTCTAGATTTTGAATTTTTTCTAGTGTTGTTTTCGTTCTCTGTATTGACCTCCATCCTTTAGCTTCCCTATCACTTTTAAATAAACGTATAGCCTTTTCTGGTCTAACTATCTTCTTCCATGTGTTTTCTCTGTTTTACTGCATGACAGGCTAAGTTTATAGGGCACTTCTGAGAGTTTTCTTTTAGCTATTTCACTATTTCATAAATGCCAGAGTTGTGGAGTGAATGACTAATCAGTCAACAGATTCTCCGACCTTAGTTGTGCATTTCTGCAGTTCCTCCTGAGATATGCGAGTTAGTTAAGCTTGAGATATTGCTCTAAAACTTCACCTTGATTTAAACTCCTCCACGACTCCAGGGACGATGCTGACATGTTTACTCTGCTGCTGTTTGTTAACTTTAAGAACTCTCCTCAACGGTACAGCTGTATTTATACTTTTGTTTTTAATTCCACACAACTTGATTCTGCTTACAAATGGATGCAGTTGAACAGATATGAATACTTTTACAAGTTAATTACTGAACAAACTAATCAAAAAGCAAGGGAAAAAAAAGACATACCAGAGTTAAAATAAATGTATTTGCCCTTAATTTAAGCAAGTAAATAAGATGATCTGTCAGTGGAATGAGCACTTTTGCCCTTAAAACAAGATAATTTGGATATCCTACTTGAAATAAGACGGCAGTGTTGTTTTTTTTCTTATTTTAAATGTAATTAATCTTATTCTATTGACAAACTGCCCTACTTAGCTGCTGAAAAATTGTTTCCAGTGATTTTTTGCTTTTGGCTCGAGTAGAAAACAGTGTTTGTTTTAACTTATGCACTATTGTAAAACCAACTAAAGTATTTTAACTTTTTGGTTTAGATCAGATCTTACAGTAACAGTTAGAAAATACCCTCCATGCTCATGTTTGTCAACAGGCCAGAGCATGTGATAATCTGCTGTCTCTGTGCTAATCAGTGTCAGACACAGAACAGTTGTTTAAAACAGGCCTACCACTCCTCTCTCCCAAATGACCGACATCCTGTCCTCTACACCATTCACTCCGTTTGGGATCTTAGTGAAGTCGTCTTTGCCCAGGGCCTTCTGGCACACAGAAAAGGTGCAGTTGTCTGTCCCAGTCAAACTCAGATCATCACTAATGAAAACACAGGTTAAAACAAGCTAAGGCCACAAAAAAACATCAGATATCAAAACAGCTAAGTTCTCAACCTGAAGCAACAACCATATAAAATATCATCTGAATCATAATTATTTCCACCTACTTGGCCAAAAGGTCCATAAGATAACCTGGAGTGCTGGGGTCAGGTCTAAGGGGAGGTCCCATAACAAAACCAGCAGCATGGGCCCAATCTTTGTGCCAATAGTTGGTCCCATCTGTGCCTAACCCAGCTGCAATCGGCTCCCCAAACACCACACGGCCTTAGAAAAGGTCATTAAATAAAACAAACTTAGATTAGAAGTGAAATGATTGGGGATGAGCACCATTCATACACCAAAGGAGTATTTACAGCTTTACTTTGGGTTTATCAATGATGTCATCCTCTTTAGCTTCTTTGCCAAGTCAAGCATGTGACAGTGGCGCCCACTCACCGTCCCTGCGTGCGTTAGAAACCACCTTGGCAGCTGATTTACTCATGACATGGACCACATAGAGAGGGCAGTTGACGGCATGAGCAATTGTGATGGCTCTCTGGGTGGCCTCAGCCTCCACCTCCTCTGGTCGACAGAGTTCATGCCCTTCAGGCCCTGTGATGCCCATGGACAACATCTTTTTGGCCCCCTGTGGGGTTAAAATATAGAACAGGCATGATGGAACACAATCAAGAATGGGAAGAAGAACAGTTGTGTGTAATTTAAGCTCTATAAATCACCATTTTTTGTGAAAGGTTTAAAACTTTTTAACAGAACAAGAAACCAAAAACCAACAATTTCAAATAAGTCAATATCTCTACAAAGAATTGTTCCAGGTATTGTTTACTTAGTCCTTTTAATGTCTGAAAATAATTTTTGCGCAGGTAACAAATATTGTTGTACACCATCACCACCTGCTGGTAGTGCTTATGCATACATCCATAAAGTTGTTACCTTTTTTAGCTAAAACTTCTTCGATGCATTCTAAGTGCCACTCATGTCTTATCCCCGATGACATCTAATATTTCTCTTGCTTTTTCTCAATGGATGTTGGACCTTTTTCTCCTTCTGTACTTAATGCTTAATCCTTGCACACACGGGCTATATCATCATATATCATCGAGCATCTAATTCAAAGTTGTATTATGGTCAAAAGGTTAAGATCGACAACTGATGGTGACTCAACGATTAAGCAATCATCCAATTCAAATAGAATAGAATAGAAAATCCCTTTATTGTCCCACAATGGGAAAAAATGGGAAAATGTGTGATGTTTACAGCAGCAAAAACATTGTAAAAATGGTCACACAAATATGGAGCTTAGAAAATGTATAAGAATAACATAGTGGTGAAGAGTAAAAAGATAAACACTGAAATACTGTACTGTACAGTACAGTTATACTAACAATATAATACTGTGGACCTGGAAAATAAATAACCAATATACAGCTATGGACATTTTTACAGTAGTGGATATTTGAAAATAGCAGCAACATCTGAGATGTGCAAAATGCAAACTGTGCAAAATCAGCATGAATGTAACAACTTATTGATGTTCTTGGGAACAGTGGTGGTTATAGGGTTTAGAATAGAGTTTAGAGATGTTATTGAATAAACGTAGTTTAGTGGTTGATATTTTTATGATTGAAATGACATTGTCTAATCAATATTGAATCAACATATGCCCTTTGTCAAAATGTAAAGATTGCTGTTTGACAGAGGAATCTGATGTTTCAATCCCTTAAGACCTTGTACTTCCTGCTTACAAAGAAGGGGAGCTTCGTACTCTATGAGGATACAGAACTGTTGTACAGTGATTTACAGGTCGGCTACACGCTGATGCAGATTGTAGCACTGTTGCCTTGTAGCATTAAGGTCTTGGGTTCGATTCCCAGACTAAGATCTTTCTGAATGAAGTTTGGCTGTTCTCCCTCTGCATGCATTCTCTCCAGGCACTGGAGAATGGCTGTTAGGTTAATTGTCTTCTCTAAATTGTCCTTATGTTTGAATGTTTGTGCATGGCTGTATTTCTTTGTATGGATGCGTGTTGCCCTGTGACAGACTCCCTGCAGGGTTTTACCCATAGACTGTCAGAGATACTGTAGGCACTGCCCCACTGTGACCCTGACAAAATAAGCGAGAGAATATGCCCAGCTGCTTGTTTTCCTTTTGATCCAGAGCCAATGACTGGATTGCTCTGCGGAACTGGAGAGTGAGCTGGATTTTGACTTGCCAACAAACTCACTGCAGGCAACCTCAACCCTGGTCCTTTGTCCGTGCTGTTCTGCATCTGATGCCAGCTCGGAGTATTTTAAGCTCTTCCATTCATAGGCGTCATGGCCCCCATGGTACAACCGGTTGGACTAAGTAAGTGGAGCAGAGACAGGATGAACAGACCACAAGGCTGGGCCTGAGATTTCTAACAACAATCTCTGTAGGAAAACAGAGACGATGGTCAAGGAATGTCGCTTGTCTACTTGAGCTTTGTTTGGTGTTTTTATTAGCTCTCATGATAGATATGGATTGTGTAGCTTGGTGAAGTGGGGCAGGTAAGGCATTGGCAAAGGTCC